AAAAGTAGGTGTGCATCTGAAAACCACCAATTGTGAGGAAACACTTCCATTTGGCAAATGGGGAAACTGAGACCTAGAGAGGGGATGTGACTCATCTGAGGTCAGCAAATACTGACAGAGCTGACAAAAATCAAGGAGGCCACCATCAACATGGCTCCAGCCCTCTCTGCTGGTTTACCTGTCACTGGCCACTCCCACCCCACTCAGGCCCAAACCTTTTGCTGAACCCCCTCAACTCCCTGCTCCATCCCAGCCTCCTCTCTGCTGCTGGATCACACATGGGCGCACCCTAGGGGGCCAGCAGTGAGCTTCCCCCTCTCCTCTGGAATGCCTGTGCTGTGCTCCTGCAAAGAGCCTAGGTTTCTATGCCTACCTCTGATCCCTTCCTACCAGAAGGGCAATGAGTGGGAACTGGTTACCTCAGCTTTCTCCCATTTTGGCACTGCATGGCACAGAGCCTGGCATGGTGCAGGCTTGTGGAGATGCTCAGCAAATTAGGCTGACCCCATTTGGGTTGGGCAGGTGGTACCGGCTGGGTCACCCGTGCGCGTCTGGACTGGCTATACTGGCTTAGCAGGTCTGACCTCAAAAATCCATGAACTTTTGTCAAGATCTTTGTTTATTCTTTCTTCTGAGGGTTCTGACAGCCAGCCAGAGGATCACAGGGAATCTGGGCTCCCCTTAATTTGGCTGGTCATTTCCAGAATAGATCAAGATGAGGTTGGGCCGGGGGAAGACACCAGTTCTACAGGGTGATGGACTTCTCATCCAGTTCCCTTATCTAGTACGCAGGGACCTGATGGCACTTGGCTGGAACAGTACTCCCTACTTTAGGTACTTTCATGGCCTGTGTACATGCAGAGAAATAAAATGACAGTGATGGTAACTGTCCCAACAGGGAAGCACAGCCAGGCCCTGACTGTGCTTCTGTTCCTACGTCCACTAACAAGCTGACTGCTGACATGTGTCAAACTCCTTCCACGGTCTCTGTCAGGAGTAAATTTAGTTCTGCATTGTATGCTCTTAGAACTCAGAGAGCAGTGTAGAAACAATGATCTCTGGGGACAGAAAGGTCAGTGGTAGCACAGGCCTTTACCCAGGGACAAAAAAAGAGGGGAGGCAGGTGAAGAAAGCTAGTGCATCAGTGGATGAAGGTTGTGTCTCCAGCCTGACAGGCCACAGGGCGGTGGGTGGAACCAGAAGGTTCCTGCTCTGTGCAATGTGGGGAATTCCCACAGAGGAGTGTGCTGGGAGGAGGTGGAAGGGCACACATGGCAGAGAGCCCGGGAAGGAACCAATTAGATACAGATGGAGCTGTGCCTGGGCAGTGGGATGCGAGTTCAGCAGAGGAGAGGGGCAGGTAGCCTAGGCCCCAGGTACGTGCAGCAGCAGTTCTGAATGCCAGGGTGGTGGACGGGGCACCCAGGCTTCATATTCCAGGTGCCCGGGATGATCTGAGACCCAAGACAGGCAAAAACCTGGGCTCAGGGCAGAAGGGCCAGAAGTCTGGCAAGCATATGTGAGAACTTAGCCTCAGGCTCTTAAGCCTACCTAGGGCAACGTGAACCACTCCCAAGACACTGATGAGCTGGGAGGGCAGCCACGTGGGCTCTCCAGAGGTTCTGTGATCAGGTGTACAGCAAGGGGCCTGCAGGGCCCAGGAGATCCTGAGCCTACCAAGTACCTACTGCAATTGGAGGGGCTGGGACTAGGGTGATTCATCAGGAGTGAGCCGTGGACCACTTCCAAGGGGGCAAGGCCAGGGGCAGGGCCTGGTACTAGCAGTAGGCAGGGGCTGTGGACTGACTCTAAGGAAGCTTTCACAGCCCAAAGGGTGAGGCCAGTTCAGGCCTCCCATATCACCATTATCAGAGGGTCCCGTCCCCAGGTCTTCCTCTACCTTCCCTAGGTGGGCAGAAATAGAGTGAGACCAGAAGGGGGCATGGCAACCTTCTGCCCTCTGAGATGGGCTGGCAGCTTTCCCACCTGTTCTTCAACTTCTAGAGCGGTGGCAGAACCCCGGGCACCTCTATTTTACAGGGCAGAGCTCACTTCTACATTTGGGACTTTGAATTTGGAAACACAAAATGCCCGCGAGGCAACTGAGGCGTGAAGCCTCTTTGAGGTCCAGGCATGAAGACCTTCGGGAAGGGTCAGCCACTGTAGAGGCTGCAGGAAATGTTTCCTGGTCCCTGTGCATTACTACCCAAGAGAAAGCCTTGCCAGGACACAGCCTAGCGCCACTGTTTGGCTGCCAATGGCATGTGTTTCTCTGTTCTCATTAGAGGACCAGGGCTGATAGGACAGAAATATGTTCACTCCTCTCTAGCTAGGCTTTAAAAAAAAATCTGGGGCTCCTGTAGGGCTTTCACCTATTCAGACCCTTGGCAGCACAGGGCATACATTGCAGAAATCTTCATATCTCCTAGCTCTTGAGAACATGGTGCAGTCCTAGGGGCATACATCACCGCACCCATTTTACAGAAGAGGAAACTGAGGCTCCCTGAGGCAAGTGGCTTGCTCAAGTTGCCACTTGCAGAGAAAGCAGAGTTGGAATGTGGGCTGAGGTCTTCTTACACCCTGTTCTCTCTCTCATGTGGCTCCAGAAAGCCCACTCAGCAAGACAGAAGAACCATTGGAGGATTCACAACAATGCTAACAAATATGTACTGTGTACTCATTAAGTTACTGGGCTACCATACCATGGAATGGTTTAATTCTCACACTTACCAGGAAAAAGAAATGCAACTACCCCTCTTCTAGAGATGAAGAAAGGGGGTACTTTGCTTTGGGTCACATGGTTAGGCAGTCACAGGCTGGGACTCAAAGTGATTTGGTACAGGTGAACAGGGGAGGGAGCAGATGGCCCAGGGAGGAGGTGGCAGTGGTCAGAGGAGCAGTGTCTGGTGTCCTCAGGACAATGGCTGCCTGGCCCACAGGGGAGGCTCATGCCTGGAAACTGGGGCCATCAGGTCTGGCAGGCAGGAGGGGGGCCAGTGGGAGGAGCAGAGTCCGGATGGGTGGTGGTGGAGAGAGGGGATGCTCCAGAGCAGGGCAGTGACAGGTGCCAGATGGGGTTCTCAGGGGACCCAGTAGGAAGCCTGAGCTCGAGGGGAGGGGCAGGCAGGAAGCTGCTAGAATCCCCAGCCCAGTCCCTGGGGGTGCCCCTCCCACCTGTACATAAAGGGCTCTGGTGCTGGCAGGGAAGCCAGAGTGACCTCACAGGCCCCACAGACAAAGGAAGGGGCCCGGCACACAGGGTCACTGTTCTCTGGAGTCCCAGGGGCCTCTGGGCTGAGCAGGATGCTCAGGACCACGTTGCTGCTCCCTCCGCCCTTCTGTGCAGAGTTCTCTGGGGCAGAGGTTCTCAACTCAAGCACTTCTGCTTTCTAAGCGACAACTAGCAGTGCCCAGAGACACTTGTTACTAGGACCGTCAAGCATGCTGGGTAGCGGGCAGGCATGTTGCTCAGCATCCTTCTATGTGCAGGACAGTGCCCACAACAAGGCCTCACAGGCATTGTGCTGAGATTAAAAAAAAAACACCAAAAAACCCCGCTGCTGATGGGCTGTCAGCAGCGTGCCCTCCTGGCTGCTGCCTTGTGGGCGAGGTGAAGAGCAGCTCGGCATCCCAGGGAAGGTACTCGCTCCGGGGAGTGACTCGTCCAAGACGGGGCTGCAAGTTTCTTCATTCAGTATTTATTGTGTACCTGCTGTATGCTAGGCACTGTTCTAGAAGCACAGCCTGGAAGAGGACTCTTTCTTTTTATTCCTCAATAAACACTGGCTGTGCCTGCTGCTGGGTATGAGCCAGACGCAGCCTCTGACCCGTCAGAGTTCACAATCGAGACAGAGACAGCTACACAGACCCTGACAAAATTGTGAGACACAGAAAGCCCAGAACTGCCTGGAGAAATCCGGCAATGTTTCTCAGAGAAGGAGCGTAAAAAGCAACACATGAAAGAGAACAGAAGTTGGTCATTAAAGACCAAGGACTGCGTGGAGGGCTCCAGGCAAAGGAACAGCATGCGCATAGCTATGGAGGAGACAGAATATGGCTCACCCAAGGCCTAAGGATGGCTCTCTGTGGCTGGGTGTGACTGAGGAGGGAAGAAGGAGAGGCTGAATGCCATGCTGAGCTGCCTAGACGGCCTCCCTGGGCTGTGACAGGGACGGAGCAGGTGGCAGCGGGGGCTAGGAGTCCCCGTAGGCCACCTACCTGGGGGGCTGCCGTGGAACTGAGAGAGAATGGGGGCCTGGAATTCTTGCCTCCTGTGAGCAGTGCTGCTTCCCACAGGTGCCCTCACCCTCCTGGGCCCCCTGTGATGTCTTTCTAGGGCTGGGAGTAGAGAATGACCTCGCCTTAGGAGGACACTCAGAAGCATCGTCCAGTCCTCTAGAAAGTGGGCCCCTTCTTGCTTCCTTTGTGAACAAGGGCACAGGGCACTTGGGACCTCCTTTCCTGTCTGTGAAATCAGTAGCAACACAACTGGTGAGGATCCCATCACCCACAGGGGAGCCCCTGCTCTGGGGTCCAGCATTCACCCCACACAAGGACTGTCCTGCCCCTGGCCATCCTCCCAGGTCCTCAGTGTCCTGGGCTCACCATGCCACCGGCCCCCACACCCCTCAGGCTTCAGCACCCAGTCCAAACACCTGTTCTGAACTCTGTCCCTCTTCTCCAGTTGTCCCCACCGGGCTTCCATGGCGCCCATAAGTGCCTCGCCACAGCCCTTGTCCCATTGGAATGCTGGGGTCTGGTTGCCTTTCTGCCTCCCCTGCCTCCTGAAAGTGATTCAGAGGACTCTTACTAGTCATAGAGAGCAAAAGAGTAATCCAGACAGATAGAAATCTGCATCCTGTGTGACCCAGGGAAGCAAGGGAGCTACTCTGAGCCTCTGTCTCCCACAAAGCCCCCAGTTGACGCATGTAAGACTAGAGCATGGCCAGCTAGCTTGGTATGCAGGGGCACAGGCTTTGGGGTTTGACTCTAGAGTTTAATCTTGGTTGCACTATTTACAAAGTGTGACCATAGGTCCTAACAGCTTGGTGCCTCAGTTTCTTCATGTGAAAAAGTGGGGATAATCATAGTGCTCTCTCTTAGGAAGATTCCTTTCCACACCCATCTTGCCTGTCAAGGGCGTGCACTGGGTCAGGCATCCACAGGGCTCCCTGCTGTCTGAAGACCTGAATCTGCTTGGTGTATGGCTTGGGAAGGCACTGGCCTCCAAATCCCAGGAAAGAGACCTGTTGAGGTCCTTCCCTCTCCATGCAGACCTCCTATGACCTGGCCCCCATCTCAGCTGAGAAAGGTGGAACTCTCAGAAGATCGGCCCCATGAGCTCTTGCCTCTGCCCCCTCTGCCCTGTGCCCACAGATTCTACCTTCTCTGGGCTCCTGGGGATAAACGCTGGCCTCAGCCAGGCAGCAGATCCCACTGTGGGCGGCAGCCCAGGCCAAGGCGCCAGCAACTCTCCCCATCGGGATTCTGCCCTCCTATCAACTCTCCTATCACCCACAAGTAGGCTCTTATTTCTCCTCTCTTGCTAAAACAGAGCTGCCACATGTCTCTCCTTCCCTGCAGTGTCATTTCCACCCACTGTCTTTCCTTCTCTCTAAGAGGGGCTCCAATCGGCCTTCATGCCCATTGTTCCACCAGATAGCTCTTGGCAAGGTCATCAATGACCTCCCCATGGCTAGGCCCAAGAACGAACCACACTTGGCTCTGCAGCCTTTGCTGCCATGAAGCGCTTTCTCCACTTGGCTTCCAGGACACAAGGGCTGCCGTCCACCTCACTGGCTGCTCTCTCTGTCTTCCTGGCTGGATCCTTTGCCTGTTCCTGATTTCTATAGTGCTTCTGGTTCCAAGTGCCAGAGTGGCCCTCCGTCTCCTCTACCACTTCCCGGATGACCCATCCAGGTCCACTAACTGCTGTCCTTGTGCCAACAGACGACACCAGCCCTGACCATTTTCGCAGGTTGCACACCACACTCCAATGGCCTCTCCAATAGCAGCAGGAGACATCTCAAGGCCTCACACCCTCCTCCAACTCCAAGCTTCCAGCCACTGTAGCCAGATCTCTCTCGTCTCCCTTATCTCTCACCTCTCACACACCAGACCCAGTCCTGTTGGTGCTCCCTCCAAAATACATCCTAAGTCTGACCACCTCTCATCCGCCCCCCAGCCACCACCCTCTCCAAGTCACCATGGTTATGCAGTTGTCTCCTTCACCCTTT